CGTACGGATGAAACATAGGACATGCGTACGCACAGAAATATTCGGATTTATAAAACCGTGCGCACGCACATCCTACGCATTTTCCCCTTAATAAATCACAATGAATTCTAAATGTAGCGCAGCTTTTGCGGCTTCATGTCACGCCCATAGTTGCCCATAAATAGTCCGTGAAACGCCCACAAGTTAATATTCATCGATTGCGAAATCATGGCAAACATAGAGAGGAAATCAAAAAAACGTTACTTCATTCAATGTGAAGTAGAAGTTATCGTTGGCGAGGTGGAAAAGAGGAGAAAAAATGTTGTTTGGAGGGCACAGTGTGGGCATTAGCCTACTAATGCCAAAAAGGCACTTGAGTGGCAAAAGGTTGCAGACGCCGTATGCTGTGGCCTCACAACCTCGGACTGTGGCCGAAATAAAAAAGAAATGACAAGCTACAGATGTCGGTTATAATCTACTTGGAAATGGGAAATAGTTCAGCGCAAATGTAATTTCTTGCAGCTTTCTGAATGGTTGAGACATACGTCATACGTTATTTTATCAAAAATAAAACAAACTAAAGGCATATGCATGAAATACCTGCATGAATACCATGATTCCGTAGCTGATAAAGACATTTTTACTATGAAAACAACTTTCCCCAGTGGACAAATAATACATCTATCTATTTATCTATCTATCTCTCCCTAATTATCTATCTATCTGACTGACTATCTAGCTATATCTGCTCCGCCAGACGGACACATTGGCGAGAATATCAGTTTTGTACATTATTTCGTTCTGTTTACCATCTTATTTATGAGGATGAATTGTATAACATGCCAATATTATTGCAGAACATTTCACTTTTCTTTTTGCAAATATGTGTTAATTTGCATTTCTGTTGCAGATCGATCAAACGGGTGTTCGTGTAGGCTGTTAATTGTAATACTTGCTTTGTGACGTCTTCGTGTTATTTATGAGAGGCAGTATTGCCATTTATTTTACACAACGGTCTACAGTTTCACACACTTTCACGTGTTTCTTCCATCTGCCGACGGTGTCGCCATTTCTCATTTCACCCGTTTTTGTGCGTACGCCTGGGTCAGAGCTTGCGTGAAGGACCGCACATTTTACCGTCAAGTTTGCTTTTTATAAATACCAATTATTGCGTAGAGAGCGGCGTACGCCTTCTTTTGTGCGTACGCAACGTTTATAAATGAGGCCCCAGGTGTTTGAGCTCATGAATTAGATCGGGGTATTGAGTGAGCTGGTGTTAGAGCTCTTGAATTAGATCAAGGTATTGAGTGAGCTGGTGTTAGAGCTCTTGAATTAGATCGGGGTAATGAGTGAGCTGGTGTTTGAGCTCTTGAATTAGATTGAGGTATTGAGTGAGCTGGTGTTAGAGCTCTTGAATTAGATTGAGGTATTGAGTGAGCTGGTGTTAGAGCTCTTGAATTAGATCGGGGTAATGAATGAGCTGGTGCTTGAGCTCTTGAATTAGATTGAGGTATTGAGTGAGCTGGTGTTAGAGCTCTTGAATTAGATCAAGGTATTGAGTGAGCTGGTGTTAGAGCTCTTGAATTAGATCGAGGTATTGAGTGAACTGGTGTTTGAGCTCTTGAATTAGATCGAGGTATTGAGTGAACTGGTGTTTGAGCTCTTGAATTAGATCGGGGTATTGAGTGAGCTGGTGTTAGAGCTCTTGAATTAGATCGAGGTATTGAGTGAACTGGTGTTAGAGCTCTTGAATTAGATCAAAGTATTGAGTGAGCTGGTGTTTGAGCTCTTGAATTAGATCGGGGTATTGAGTGAGCTGGTGTTAGAGCTCTTGAATTAGATCAAGGTATTGAGTGAGCTGGTGTTTGAGCTCTTGAATTAGATCGGGGTATTGAGTGAACTGGTGTTAGAGCTCTTGAATTAGATCAAAGTATTGAGTGAGCTGGTGTTTGAGCTCTTGAATTAGATCGGGGTATTGAGTGAGCTGGTGTTTGAGCTCTAGAATTAGATCAAAGTATTGAGTGAGCTGGTGTTTGAGCTCTTGAATTAGATCGGGGTATTGAGTGAGCTGGTGTTTGAGCTCTTGAATTAGATCGGGGTATTGAGTGAGCTGGTGTTTGAGCTCTTGAATTAGATCGGGGTATTGAGTGAACTGGTGTTAGAGCTCTTGAATTAGATCAAAGTATTGAGTGAGCTGGTGTTTGAGCTCTTGAATTAGATCGGGGTATTGAGTGAGCTGGTGTTTGAGCTCTTGAATTAGATCAAGGTATTGAGTGAGCTGGTGTTTGAGCTCTTGAATTAGATCGGGGTATTGAGTGAGCTGGTGCTTGAGCTCTTGAATTAGATCGGGGTATTGAGTGAGCTGGTGTTTGAGCTCTTGAATTAGATCAAGGTATTGAGTGAGCTGGTGTTTTAGCTCTTGAATTAGATCAAGGTATTGAGTGAGCTGGTGTTTGAGCTCTTGAATTAGATCGGGGTATTGAGTGAGCTGGTGTTTGAGCTCTTGAATTAGATCAAGGTATTGAGTGAGCTGGTGTTTTAGCTCTTGAATTAGATCGGGGTATTGAGTGAGCTGGTGTTTGAGCTCTTGAATTAGATCAAGGTATTGAGTGAGCTGGTGCTAAAGCTCATGAATTAGATCGAGGTATTGAGTGAGCTGGTGTTTGAGCTCTTGAATTAGATCAAGGTATTGAGTGAGCTGGTGTTTTAGCTCTTGAATTAGATCAAGGTATTGAGTGAGCTGGTGTTTGAGCTCTTGAATTAGATCGGGGTATTGAGTGAGCTGGTGTTTGAGCTCTTGAATTAGATCGGGGTATTGAGTGAGCTGGTGTTTGAGCTCTTGAATTAGATCAAGGTATTGAGTGAGCTGGTGTTTTAGCTCTTGAATTAGATCGGGGTATTGAGTGAGCTGGTGTTTGAGCTCTTGAATTAGATCAAGGTATTGAGTGAGCTGGTGTTAGAGCTCTTGAATTAGATCGGGGTATTGAGTGAGCTGGTGTTTGAGCTCTTGAATTAGATCGGGGTATTGAGTGAGCTGGTGTTAGAGCTCTTGAATTAGATCGGGGTATTGAGTGAGCTGGTGTTTGAGCTCTTGAATTAGATCGGGGTATTGAGTGAGCTGGTGTTTGAGCTCTTGAATTAGATCAAGGTATTGAGTGAGCTGGTGTTTGAGCTCTTGAATTAGATCGGGGTATTGAGTGAGCTGGTGTTTGAGCTCTTGAATTAGATCGAGGTATTGAGTGAGCAGGTGTTTGAGCTCTTGAATTAGATCGGGGTATTGAGTGAGCTGGTGTTTGAGCTCTTGAATTAGATCGGGGTATTGAGTGAGCTGGTGTTAGAGCTCTTGAATTAGATCGGGGTATTGAGTGAGCTGGTGTTAGAGCTCTTGAATTAGATCGGGGTATTGAGTGAGCTGGTGTTAGAGCTCTTGAATTAGATCGGGGTATTGAGTGAGCTGGTGTTTGAGCTCTTGAATTAGATCAAGGTATTGAGTGAGCTGGTGTTAGAGCTCTTGAATTAGATCAAGGTATTGAGTGAGCTGGTGTTAGAGCTCTTGAATTAGATCAAGGTATTGAGTGAGCTGGTGTTAGAGCTCTTGAATTAGATCGGGGTATTGAGTGAGCTGGTGTTAGAGCTCTTGAATTAGATCGGGGTATTGAGTGAGCTGGTGTTAGAGCTCTTGAATTAGATCAAGGTATTGAGTGAGCTGGTGTTAGAGCTCTTGAATTAGATCGGGGTATTGAGTGAGCTGGTGTTTGAGCTCTTGAATTAGATCAAGGTATTGAGTGAGCTGGTGTTTGAGCTCTTGAATTAGATCGGGGTATTGAGTGAGCTGGTGTTTGAGCTCTTGAATTAGATCAAGGTATTGAGTGAGCTGGTGTTTGAGCTCTTAAATTAGATCGGGGTATTGAGTGAGCTGGTGTTTGAGCTCTTGAATTAGATCGGGGTATTGAGTGAGCTGGTGTTTGAGCTCTTGAATTAGATCGGGGTATTGAGTGAGCTGGTGTTTGAGCTCTTAAATTAGATCGGGGTATTGAGTGAGCTGGTGTTTGAGCTCTTGAATTAGATCGAGGTATTGAGTGAGCAGGTGTTTGAGCTCTTGAATTAGATCGGGGTATTGAGTGAGCTGGTGTTAGAGCTCTTGAATTAGGTCAAGGTATTGAGTGAGCTGGTGTTTGAGCTCTTGAATTAGATCGGGGTATTGAGTGAGCTGGTGTTTGAGCTCTTGAATTAGATCGAGGTATTGAGTGAGCAGGTGTTTGAGCTCTTGAATTAGATCGGGGTATTGAGTGAGCTGGTGTTTGAGCTCTTGAATTAGATCGGGGTATTGAGTGAGCTGGTGTTAGAGCTCTTGAATTAGATCGGGGTATTGAGTGAGCTGGTGTTAGAGCTCTTGAATTAGATCGGGGTATTGAGTGAGCTGGTGTTAGAGCTCTTGAATTAGATCGGGGTATTGAGTGAGCTGGTGTTTGAGCTCTTGAATTAGATCAAGGTATTGAGTGAGCTGGTGTTAGAGCTCTTGAATTAGATCGGGGTATTGAGTGAGCTGGTGTTAGAGCTCTTGAATTAGATCAAGGTATTGAGTGAGCTGGTGTTAGAGCTCTTGAATTAGATCGGGGTATTGAGTGAGCTGGTGTTTGAGCTCTTGAATTAGATCAAGGTATTGAGTGAGCTGGTGTTTGAGCTCTTGAATTAGATCGGGGTATTGAGTGAGCTGGTGTTTGAGCTCTTGAATTAGATCAAGGTATTGAGTGAGCTGGTGTTTGAGCTCTTAAATTAGATCGGGGTATTGAGTGAGCTGGTGTTTGAGCTCTTGAATTAGATCGGGGTATTGAGTGAGCTGGTGTTTGAGCTCTTGAATTAGATCGGGGTATTGAGTGAGCTGGTGTTTGAGCTCTTAAATTAGATCGGGGTATTGAGTGAGCTGGTGTTTGAGCTCTTGAATTAGATCGAGGTATTGAGTGAGCAGGTGTTTGAGCTCTTGAATTAGATCGGGGTATTGAGTGAGCTGGTGAGTGTACCTTCGGGCGGCAGCTGACTGGAGAACTCCGCAGGGAGAGTGAGCAGAGCGTAATCTCTCAGCACCGACAACCACAGACGGCTCAGAGACGGCAGCTCCGGCTGGACGAGGGTCATCAGGCTGTCTGGAGGAAGAACATCTCCTTGATCATCCTCATCCTCACCCTGAGGAGCGGCACGCGCCGGCCCAGACTCACACTCCTGCTTTATCTTCATAGCCACCACAAACACCTGAACCACAGAGGCAATAATCATCATAATGATGGAATTAATTTGAACCCCGTAAAGCCTGACATATAAAATAATAGTAAGAAAATATATATTTAAAAAAAATGAAACAGTTCATTGATCCTTCAGACAAAATCTAAAGTAAAATGTGTGTTTTTGTCATATTTGATACATAGTGAGAAAAAACTGCTCAGTTTTTTTATTGACGCTGACTCTTTTTTATTGAATATTTCAGACTCATGATTTTCCTATAAAATGATGTACGATAATCAAGTAAACAGAAGTCGCATCAGTCATCTTGAAACATTATTAACAATATAAAAGTTATTCGGTTATACATTATTTTAAAGTGTCATTGTTACAGTGTAATTATATATAAGTACTGACTAATATTAATTAACAACATGTATTTACTATAGGGTTAGGGGAGGATTAGGGTTTGGTTGAGGGTTAGTTGCATGTAATTATGCATAATCTACTGTTATTACTATGGAAAGTACATGTCACATATGTAACAAGGACACTGTAAAATAAAGTGTTACCAGATATTCTTACATTTACTTGATAAAAATCATTAAAGATTTTTAAGATTTAAGATTTTTAAAGTGTGTAAACCATCAGTCAGACACCGAAGGACTGTAGGAGACTGTGTGTGTGACGGGTTTATCAGATCATGCTGATGATTGAGAGCAATGCTAAAGGAATGTTTGCCCATGTTGCACAGATGTACCTCGGCCCAGGCCTTCAGCACGGCCAGTTTCTCCATGGTGGTGGCGCTCTCGCTGTACAGCTGGCTGGAGGACCGGCCGGCCTGAAGCTTGTCCAGCGACGACACCAGCAGAGTGTGTACGCGCCGCAGGTCGTTCAGGTCACTGACCACACCGCTGCCTATCCACGCACTGCACACCTGCACACACACACAGGTCTGAGTCACACATGAGCCAGGACACCACAGCTGAGAGGAGCAAACATGTTAAACGGCTCCTATTATGCAAATTCTTAAATTCCCCATAAATCATTAGCAGTGTTTCAGAACAAGCCAAATACAAACGGACAATACAAAACACCGGTTTTGCTAAAATGTTGTTACTCGAGGATGGATGAGTAGCACTGTTTGTGATCGAGCTTAAAAAGTCTGTATATATTTGTTTACTGTTAGTTACAACAAAGAGTATAGAAGTACCAAGAGGCGAAAGTCCGTGGCAGTTTTGACAACAATCGCTAGATGGCGCTGCTGTCGCGCTGTCGCCATTTTGGACTGAACCAACGGCTTTACCGTTAGCATAACTATACAGCATTAACTTTATGTCTGGAAATAACTGGAAACAAAGAAAACAGTGTTCTGCCATCAAATTACCAGTGTACAACCAATTAACTAGCATTTCATAGATTCCCCAAAGATCCAGAGAGGTAAAGTACAAAAGGTTTTTATTAGGGCTGTCAAATGATTAATCACGATATACCATAATATATGTGGGTGCACTGTGTATAATTATTTTGTATATATATATAAATACACACACATGCATGTATATTTAAGAAAAAAATATTATTTATATATAAAATATTTATATTTATATATAATATAAATTATATATAAATCTATATACAGTATATACATGAAAATATTTCTTAAATATATACAAGCATGTGTGTGTATTTATATATATAAAATAATTATACACAGTGCACCCACATATATTATCTAAAAAAAACTTTTATTTTGGATGTGATTAATCACGATTAATCATTTGACAGCCCTAGTTTTTATTAACGTTAAAGTGAGCTAACGTCAACGATAACAGGTGCTGTAACGTTAATGTAAGCTATCCCATAACCGCAGTAACAGTTAGCTAACGTTATGTATTTGGTCGAAATTGAGTCAAGACTGGAAATGGGCTTCTCAGGTCAGTCATCCACACAGTTGGTCTGGGAAGGAAGCTATTAAATAGCGGCATGGAGGTGTACAACAGTGAGTGCAGGGAAGTTGTGTGTGACAAAGAAAAGTGCAAAAAACACTCTTGTATACATGGTGAAACTATTCAATAGAGTCAGAATCCAGCATATATTACGGACCCAAAATCGACAAATCTCACAGCCCAAACAGAACATTTTTAAAGCCAAATCATCTGTAAATCTGTACATTAACTCTCTCTTTCTGTTTCAAATGTAACATGCGTTGTACAAAGTTTTTATCAGTCAAGATGAATTAAATTATAATAAAACTAAAGACTAAAACATATAGAACAGCTAATACTTACCATTGTCAGTCTATTTGTAGTAAATGTGTGCCCTGCACTTGCACGATGTTTGGTTTGTAGTGTGTATTGCAGGCAGAAATGATGTGGTGATCTACTTACCATCACCAATTTTATTAGTTAATTTTGTGATGATCTTCTATTACTATTAAATATTCTCTCTTGACTAATGTGTTGTCCCTTTCACCTACTCACTGTTCATTCTGTTTTGGCTTTTTCAAGGAATTTGTCAATAATTTCATGAGGAACATGGGCTGTTACTGGTGATGTAAAATTGGGCTGTGTATGAAAACGGGAGTTATCTATGGAAGCTTGTTTCCGCCACTGAATAAAAACAAAACAAAAAATAATTGCGACTTTTTATCTCACAATTGCGAGATATGAAGTCAGAATTCTGAGAAATAGTCGCAATTGCGAGATATAAAGTCGCAATTCTGAGAAATAAAGTCGCAATTGCGAGATATGAAGTCGTAATTCTGAGAAATAAAGTCGCAATTCTGAGATATGAAGTCGCAATTCTGCGAAATAAAGTCGCTATTGCGAGATATGAAGTCGCAATTCTGAGAAATAGTCGCAATTGCGAGATATGAAGTCGCAATTCTGAGAAATAAAGTCACAATTGCGAGATATGAAGTCGCAATTGCGAGATATGAAGTCGCAATTCTGAGAAATAGTCGCAATTGCGAGATATGAAGTCGCAATTCTGAGAAATAAAGTCACAATTGCGAGATATGAAGTCGTAATTCTGAGAAATAAAGTCACAATTGCGAGATATGAAGTCGCAATTCTGAGAAATAAAGTCGCAATTCTGAGATATGAAGTCGCAATTCTGCGAAATAAAGTCGCTATTGCGAGATATGAAGTCGCAATTCTGAGAAATAAAGTGGCAATTGCGAGATATGAAGTCGCAATTCTGAGAAATAGTCGCAATTGCGAGATATGAAGTCGCAATTCTGAGAAATAAAGTCGCAATTGCGAGATATGAAGTCGCAATTCTGAGATATGAAGTCGCAATTCTGAGAAATAAAGTCGCAATTGCGAGATATAAAGTCGCAATTATGAGAAATAAAGTCGCAATTGCGAGAAAAAAAGACAGAATTGTGACTTTTAATCTCACAATTCTGACTTTTTCTCACAATTGAGAGTTTACATCTCGCAATTCTGACTTTATAACACAATTGTGAGTTTATATCTCGAAATTCTGACATCTTTTCTCAGAATTGTGAGATATAAACTCGCAATTGTGAGTTATCAGGCCAATTTAAGGGAATTGGAATAGTTTATTTCTCACAATTCTGACTTTACAACACGCAATTGCAACTTTATATCAATCAATTCTAACTTTATATCTCGCAATTGTGAGAAAAAAAGTCAGAATTGCGAGATATAAAGTCGCAATTACCTTTTTTATTTTTCATTCTGTGGTGGAAACAAGCTTCCATAGTTATCCCCAAAAGTTATTGGGGTAAATAAATAGCCCATTTGACAGCTGAAGACTCTTTCTTCAGGCACGCATTGCTTGATTCTGTCTTGTTCTGAAATACACTGACTGAGTTCTGAAAGCCCCTCCCCCTGAAAACCCCAGTGTGTTCTGATTGGCCAGCTGACCCAGTGTATTCTGATTGGCCAAACACCTTAAGCGTGTGTCAGAAATGTAAGGCCCCTTACCATAATCGTGAGTTTCACATCAAACATGATGACAGCACTACAATTCACTGAAGCCTCGCCTTTGGGAAGCATTATGCTAATATTTCACATTGCGACGTAGATGTTTGTGAAAGTAATATCTTTCTATTATAAAAGTATCTTATCATAATAAAAATATTTTTGTATTAAGTTTATTGTTATAAAAAATGTGCAAAAATACTATTTTCAATTTTTATATGAAATATATATTTTCAAAATCATGTTTTACTCTAAAACTCCAAGAAAATCAAAGCAATACATATAAACAAGTTGTGTTCCGCATGTGATCTTGATGTCTCAGTAAATGAGCGTTCAGTGAGAGTGTGTTCGGCTGCAGTACCGAACGTTTCCACTAGAGGCGCAATCAAGACTATTCTTTCTTAGGAAGTTGAGTTCTATTGGAGTAAGTAGGAAGCTTCTTTTTTTTTTTTTATCAGGGAATCGTAGCTAGTGTTTTGTTTTATGCAGTGCTCTGTTGGGGATGTAGTATCACTGTATGATAGAAATATGATTAATAAATTGATTAGAAAGGCAGGCTCGGTTATTGGCCTTAATTCTGATTCAATTGAGATTACTGTGGAAAAGAGAACAAGGGCAAAATTTAAAATTATTGTGTGTTACAAAGGTCATCCACTACATTGTACCTTTAGTGGACTTAGGAGCTCATTTAGTGGAAGATTGGTAATGCCTCTGTGTTCTACAGAGCGATTTAGAAGGTCTTTTATTCCGAATGCAGTTAGGTTGTTCAATGAAATTGTGTAATTTCTTGTAGTGATTGTTGTTGTTTTTTAATGTTTATTTGTTTGTGGTGTCTGTAATGTGCAATGGTGGCGAATGAGTTTCCCCTTACAGGGATTAATAAAGTTTTCTTACTTCTTACTTACTAGAGGAAACTCGTCTCTCATTTATTTCCAATGCGCTCGTGTCTGACCGCGAGGAGCTCAAGTGTGACTGTTGTTATCAGGACCATTTAACCTTTTCAAAAATCATGTTCATGATCTTTGTGTGTGTTCACACAGCAAGTGCCAAACCCTTTACCAAGTTTCATACCATTCTGATGAAAAAAAAAAATTTCTAAAAAACCAGTGTAACATTAGTAGGTGTGTGTGTTGTGAGGTTCACCTGGCAGGCTTTAGCAGTGATGTCTGAAGGCGTGTCCGGGGAAAAGGCTGGGCGGAGCGCGGCACCAACCTGAACACAACACAACATCAGGACATGGGTTTGATGAGCCCTGGGTGCCACTGATCACCTCATGCCACATTTGAACGTGTCACATGACTGAACTAACGTTGGCCTGATACTGCTCCAGGATCACATGACCAGGGAACTCGGGCTCCGGCACCGCGGCGAACTTCTTGATGATGTCCTCGAGCGCCTGCAGTCCTGCCATGCGGAGCTGGTGGCTGTGGTCCGTCGCCGCCATGAACGCCATGCGGATCAGATCACACAGGTGCAGCACGAGGAAGTCCCCTGCGCAAGACAACACACAGTCTGTAGGGTTGGCAATAATACAAGATATTTGAAAATGGAGCAAACATCTCCACATCACTATGATCAGATGCTTTTTGAACCGCTGTTTTCTTATTGTTATTGTGTGTTTATTCTGTTATTGAGAGAAAAGAGCAGCTCATACTTACGTATTCATCTAAATGTGGGCGGAGTCAGGATGTTCGCTAACAGAATTGTGGGCGGAGTCAGGATGTTCGCTAACATAATTGTGGGCGGAGTCAGGATGTTCAGTAAAAGAAATGTGAGTGGAGACATGATTCGCTACAGAATTGTGGGCGGAGTCAGGATGTTCAGTAACAGAAATGTGGGTGGAGTCAGGATGTTCAGTAAAAGAAATGTGGGTGGAGACATTGTTCGCTACAGAATTGTGGGCGGAGTCAGGATGTTCGCTAACAGAATTGTGGGCGGAGTCAGGATGTTCAGTAAAAGAAATGTGGGTGGAGTCAGGATGTTCAGTAAAAGAAATGTGGGTGGAGACATTGTTCGCTACAGAATTGTGGGCGGAGTCAGGATGTTCAGTAACAGAAATGTGGGTGGAGACATCGTTCGCTACAGAATTGTGGGCGGAGTCAGGATGTTCAGTAACAGAAATGTGGGTGGAGACATGGTTCGCTACAGAATTGTGGGCGGAGTCAGGATGTTCAGTAACAGAAATGTGGGTGGAGACATGGTTCGCTACAGAATTGTGGGCGGAGTCAGGATGTTCAGTAACAGAAATGTGGGTGGAGACATGGTTCGCTACAGAATTGTGGGCGGAGTCAGGATGTTCAGTAGCAGAAATGTGGGTGGAGACATCGTTCGCTACAGAATTGTGGGCGGAGTCAGGATGTTCAGTAACAGAAATGTGGGTGGAGACATGGTTCGCTACAGAATTGTGGGCGGAGTCAGGATGTTCGCCAACAGTTTATTAGGCAAAGGTATTTCAAATGTAGTTTTACCCATAAGGAAAGGAGGAAAAGAAGTTCGCCGGGAGTATACCGAGACCTTCAGACGTTTACCTTCAGGGTTCTTGGTCTTGGCGACCCGTGCTGCTGCCAGGTCAAAGTGGGCCTTGTCTGCATTCTCACACAGATGGATGATCCGGCACAGGCAGTCGGCAGCGAACACTCGCGTGACCCAGCGCGGCGCCACGGACGGCTTGGCCTTCTCATCCTGACCCAGAGACGTGAACATGATGTCATCATCCATCTCATCCTTCTTCTCGGAGTCGTCGTCCTCCTCCTTCCGTCGGCTCTGAGACGCCACCGTCCCTCCGACCTCTGCAACAACACCACCGTATGAGGGCCGACGGATCGAGCAGTCTATGAGCTGGGCTAGTAGCGCACTGTTCATCTCTTTACACAAGCACACTGTAGTCTCTCTTCCTAAGGCGAAGCACTCTGATTATTAGGAACATGTAAAAGAAAGTTTCGTGGTGACCTTAGAAATGGCAGTTTTGAAAAGTTTTGAAGCAGCAAGACGAAACAAGAGAATCCTACAGATATAGAAAAATGAGCACTGCTTCTAACACCGTATTGCTCACTACCAAAATTGGGTTTTGTACGATATCAGTTGAACGTACCTCAGTATAAATACAGTATCTTAGGCTGTCCACACACCTGAAGATACAGTCCCCCTGTAACCAATACTGTTATCCCTTAAAACACCAAAATTACATATTTAAGGGGGTTTTTCCTGTCTTCAAATATCTTGAATGTAACTCGACACCCTTGCCTCATTTAGTATGTGCGGTTCTATGAATATGCAAATGAGCCCCGCCTCCACTCACGGGTCGCTTTATCCGTGTATTTTCCGGAATCTCTGTGTGAAAGGGGCTTTAGAGGATCGCAATATTAACATGCCTAACCTGTAGCTTCAGCCAGTCAGTGTGTGTGTGTGTGTGTGTGTGTGTGTCACCAGTAGCTTCAGCCAGTGTGTGTGTGTGTGTGTGTGTGTGTCACCTGTAGTCGCTGCCAGCACATCTTTGCAGAGCTTGAGCCAGTGAGGAAGTTTCCCCACAGCCAGAGACGAGAGCATGTGACCCAGTGTGTCGTGGATGTCCGAGCACAGCTTCCGATCCGTCTCCCGGTCCAGCATCCCGAACAGAACACCTTCCAGCCCGGTCTCGGTGATGTTCAGATCTGGAAGAACAACGACACTGTCAAATACTCAGTATATTTAATATGTAAGGGATAATGCACATCCAGCCGGTGGTTATCTCGGAATAAACCCGACAGGGTGATCGGCTTAAGAAAGTGATTTAAGCACCAAATTTAGTACACAACTTAATAAAATATAGCTTAATTTGTGCAGACAAGCAGAACATATGAACTGAAAACAAACTAACTAAACTTAATTCATCCCATACAGAAGAACCCATCAGGTTCGCAGTGCTGTGATTGGAGCAGATAAAGAGTGAGTGTTACGGAGAGCGTCACGCACTGAGGGTAGAGTTGTCTTTGGCGTCCCCGGCCCTCCTGGCGAGACTCATGGCGTATTCACACACCTCAGGAGCCTCTCGCTGAGCCAGCTGACGGAGACACGCCACAGCGGCCCGCCGTAACAGCAGGTGAGAGCTGCACAGATGCACCTGCACACACACACACACACACGTCACTCACCGGCACCGAACTATGGACTGTGCAAAAGTCACATGTGCTCTCCATACACTCATATTTGCACATTTAAAGGAGGAGTTCACTTCAGAATTACAACTTCCTGATAATTTACTCTCCTCCACGTCATCCAACATGATCATGACTTTCTTTCTTCAGTGGGAAAGAAATGAAGGTTTTTGAGGAACACACTCCAGTATTAATCTCCATATAGTGAGTTCAATGGGGTCCAACGGGTCGAAGGTCCAGATGTGAGTTTCAGTGCAGCTTCAAAGTCTCGACACGATCCAGCCGAGGAATAAGAGTCTGATCTAGACAAACCAGCGGACATTTATAACAAAATACACATTTATATACTTTAACCACTAATGCTGGTCTTGCAGGAGCTGTGATGCGACACACATTACGTGATCAGGGTGAAAGGTCAAGCGGGACGTAGGAGGAAGAACAGACCCAGTGTTTACAGAGAGAACGTGCAAAGACTGAGTCAAACGACATTTACAAAAAAATGAAAGGTAAAACAACGATGTCGGACGATTTTGAAATTGGAGGAGAAAATGTTTTTCGCCCTACTCTACATTTCTGAACCGGAACACACTTGACCTTTCACCCTGATCACGTAATGTGTGTCGCATCACAGCTCGTGCAAGACCAGCATTAGTGGTTAAAGTATATAAATGTTTATTGTGTTATAAATGTCCGCTGGTTTGTCTAGATCAGACTCTTATTCCTCGGCTGGATCGTGTCGAGACTTTGAAGCTGCACTGAAACTCACATCTGGACCTTCGACCCGTTGGACCCCATTGAAGACACTATATGGAGAAACCCTGGAGTGTGTTCCTCAAAAACCTTCATTTCTTTTGACTGAAGAAAGAAAGACATGAACATCTTGGAGGACGTGGAGGAGAGTAAATTATCAGGAAATTGTGATTCTGAAGTGAGCTCCTCCTGTAGTATTATGATTTGTGTATCTGTTGAATGTGGATGTGGAGGTGTATGGGCGTCGTTACACAGAGGCAGGGCACGAGGCTGGACAGGTTGACGTGTCGCGGCGCGAACATATGCAGCTGCTGGAGACACGAGATGGCCGCCGCCTGCACCAGAGAGTCCGAGTGATCCTGCATGATGGCACAGCCCACCAGACACGACGAGCGGATCGTCGACACGCTGCTGCCGTTCCCTGGGGAATAGACAGAGTGAGCAACGAGAAAACTCTTCCCAGTGCTGCCAGGGCTAGAGGCGCATGCATGAGATTCACTCGCTCGACATCTTCCAAACATTTGGTAACATATTGAGCAGAAGGTGATGAGCGACAGACAAGATAAACCAATAGACAGAATTTGCTAACAGATTAGTGGGCGGAGTCATGCTGTTTGCTAACAGAATTATGGGCGGAGTCATGATGTTTGCTAACAGAATTATGGGCGGAGTCATGATGTTTGCTAACAAAATTGTGGGCGGAGTCGTGACGTTACTGTAGAATTGTGGGCGGAGTCATGATGTTTGCTAACAAAATTGTGGGCGGAGTCATTATATTTGCTGTTTGCTAAAAGAATTGTGAGCGGAGTCATGATGTTTGTTAACATAATTGTGGGCGGAGTCATGATGTTTGCTAACAGAATTGTGGGCGGAGTCATATTTGCTGTTTGCTAAAATAATTGTGGGCGGAGTCATGATGTTTGTTAACATAATTGTGGGCGGAGTCATGATGTTTGCTAACAGAATTGTGGGCGGAGTCATGATGTTTGCTAACAGAATTGTGGGCGGAGTCATATTTGCTGTTTGCTAAAAGAATTGTGGGCGGAGTCATGATGTTTGTTAACAGAATTGTGGGCGGAGTCATGATGTTTGCTAACAAAATTGTGGGCGGAGTCATTATATTTGCTGTTTGCTAAAAGAATTGTGGGCGGAGTCATTGTTGTTTGCTAAAAGAATTGTGGGCGGAGTCATGATGTTCGCTAACAGAATTGTGGGCGGAGTCATGATGTTTGATAACAGAATTGTGGGCGGAGTCATGATGTTCGCTAAAATAATTGTGGGCGGAGTCATGATGTTTGCTAACAGAATTATGGGCGGAGTCATGATGTTTGCTAACAGAATTGTGGGCGGAGTCATGATGTTTGCTAACAGAATTATGGGCGGAGTCATGATGTTTGCTAACAGAATTATGGGCGGAGTTATGGTGTTTGCTAAAAGAATTGTGGGTGGAGTGATGATGTTTGCTAACAGAATTATGGGCGGAGTCATGGTGTTTGCTAAAAGAATTGTGGGCGGAGTCATGATGTTTGCTAAAAGAATTGTGGGCGGAGTCATGATGTTTGCTAAAAGAATTGTGGGCGGAGTCATGATGTTTGCTAAAAGAATTGTGGGCGGAGTCATGATGTTTGCTAAAAGAATTGTGGGCGGAGTCATGATGTTTGATAAAAGAATTGTGGGCGGAGTCATGATGTTTGCTAAAAGAATATCGCTGCAAAGGTATTTCAAACATATTTCACCCCTAAGCACAGAAAGTAAAAGGACTTTGCCGTGAGTACATTGAGGAAACCCTGACATGTTTCAAGCGCTATAACAGCGTGTACCCTGTAGTTCTGGGCCGACGGTGGTGATGAGCGCCCCGAGACAGCGGCCCAGACACTGATGCACCTCTGTGTGTGAGGGCGGCACCGTGAGCAGCAGCGTCAGCACCAGAGACAGCGTGGGCTCCACATAGCCCCGGTACATGGGCCCGCTGGAGTCCACGATCAGAGCCAGGGAGTGCAGCGCCCACGTCTGAAACACCACAGCAAAAAGGAACTAATTGCGTTAACGCTCAAACAAACCTTTCAGCGGCTGTTATTCTGGATCACAGAACAATAGATGCAGGAGAAGAGAGTTTAACACTTACTACACCAATAAAACAACAAATATATTTTTTGCTTACAGTTTAAATGAATCATCGAAGGTCAGAAGCAAGTACATTCGTCAATAAAGTGAGATTAAATGCATAAAAAATTATATTTTATTTAACATATTTAGATATTGGAGGTTTGAATAGTATTCTGATTCTGTATTTCACAGATTTTATTCATTTTGAGGAATATTTAATCTTTTTTTGTGCAAGTGACACGAGTAAATGCTCACATTTAGTCTAGAACTACAATAACCATCATGTTTACACGCAGGACACGTACACACATACGTCATGAGTGATGTAATGAGTTCCCCCGACACAGCTCATCAGAGCCGCACTAAACCTCACTGTCGGCGCTCACCTGGACCTCGTGGCACGTGGCGTCTTGAGCTAAGGCTAGCAGGATGCTAACGCTAGTCTTCAGGTGCTGGCCCGACCCGATGCCGCCCACGTACCGGTGCAGGCATCCTAACGCCAGAGAGTGGCCCGTCCTGGACACCACGTCACGCGCAGACTTCAGCCTGTGCAGAGGAGCACACACACACACACACAGCACAACATGAGGGAACCGCAGCAAACAAACAAACGCATGAAACAGCAGAGATACAGCGCTGACCTCGGTTCCCTCTGTAAACAAAACATTTTTAAATGTTGTTTATGTGTGTATGTGGTGTTTTTAATCTGCTTTAAGACACACCATGTGTAAGTTCATAAGTCGACAGCATTGCTGAGTATTTCCTGCTTAAAACTGCAGTGAACCAAAGACAGTCTCAAAAACACGGTTTGAAATCGCTGGTGTTTCTGACGTCACAAACGACCTTGTAACCAATCAGATCAACGTGTGATCGTCAACCAGTGGATCTCTGAGCTGAGTGAGTGAGTGGAGGCGGGGCTCATTTGCATATTCATAGAACCGCGCATACTAAATGAGGCGAGGGTGTCGAGTTACATTCAAGATATTAGAAGACATGAATACGTTTTTTTCAAGGAAAAAACGCTTAACCCGCTGGTGCTCTTCATGTGTCGGTAAAAAACGACCGAAATGTATTTCTTTATTTAAATGAAACGAATGTACTATATTTGAGTTCGATAATGTTTTTTTAATTTAATATTTTGTATTTTTAGGAGATTATGGTACTAAATTCTATTTACTCTCCATTTAATCACTTTTTGAGCATAGACCTGAAAATAAAATTTCCAACTTGAACTGTCGTAAATGAATGTTTTAGAGCGACAGAATTAAGTTTGATCTCATTTCAAAGACGACACATGGCAGATTATTGCTGAAGTGACAAAAGTTTTAAAAAGTGAACTTAAAAAAGTTACAGGATTTTCGCGTTTATGATTATGCGTGTGCATACTTGTCGAAGCTGTGCTGTGCCATGCGGGCGATGAAGGACGCCTCCCCGACGACCTGTGCCATGCGTCCCAGAGCCTCGCCCGCGGCGCAGCGCAGGATGGGGTTCGGGTTGTCCAGCGCGCCCATCACCAGCGCCAGAGCAGACTTACGCACCTCTTCTGGACCCAGACTGCTCTTGTTCTCAGCCAGACCCTGCACAGACACACACAAGCCCGTCAACGGCCATTATTACGACTCTTAAACTACTCTACTGTGGGCTATGAGCAGCACAACTCGTCTGACACCTTGAGAGCGCTCAGCACTGCAGTGAATATGTTTAGCTGGACGGCCTGCTGACGGACTCCTTTAGCTTGTTTGATGCATTCGGCAAAGTGATCCAGCATTTGCAACCTGGAAGAAACAACAGGACATGAAATAAATCCCAAGCAAGGCTGTGCAGCGAGAGGAACGGTAAAGCTACGATCTCACCGACCAACACACTGGATCTTTATTGTAGCGGCACAATCACAGCCTAGCAGAACATGCATACGCTACTGTTCAAAAGAATGGAGCAATTTAAATAGTTGTAATGTATTTAAAAGAGTCTCTTCTGCTCATCAAAGCTGCATTTATTTGATCAAAAATACAGTAAAACAGTGTAATATTACTCCAGTGTAAATCAGCTGTGTTCTGTGTGAATATACAGTAAAGTGTAATTTATTCCTGTATTTTCAGCATCATTACTCCAGTCTTCAGTGTCACATGATCCTTCAGAAATCACTCTAATATGAGGATCTGATGCTCATGAAACCTTTATGATTATTAACTTCATATTTTTGTGGGAATCATATTTTTTTAGGATTCTTTTATGAAAATAAAGGTTAAAAAACAGCATTTATTTAAAATCTAATCTTTTGTAACATTATAAATGTCTTTATTGTAACTTTTGATCAATTTAATGTGTCCTTGATTCATTTATGTAAAACAAATAATCTTACTGACCACAAACTTTTAAATGGTAGTGTGTCTGATCTTTAATATAGAGCTGGACGTACAGTATATATAGACTTATATAATATTCACGTTACCCAAAATGTCACATGAAATACAAAAAGAAAGAGAAGGTAAAAATGTCGTTGCACAACACAATGTCATATGACAAAAACGAAGAAATGTGGCGCTATTACTTTGAAGATTTTAATCCCTTTGTCTTTTTCAGTGTTTTTTTATCAATTTGTTAACCTCATTAGCATACATTTAGGCACAGGTGTGTATTTTTATTGAAATTTCACTATTTCACCCCCATTTCCTTTAATAAATCGATTTCACTCTAGCAACACAAAATAGTTCCTCTCAGAACCTTAAGGACAAATAATGTCCCCATTGAAACCCACTAAATATATTTTAGGTATTTTATGACTGTGTGCTGAAAATGATCCTTGTAACAATGCATTCAAAGTATACTTTCAAAATACATTATAGTATACAATAATATATCGTACAAAAGTATAGCTAAGTATAATCTAAGTATTTGTTTATGAATGTGCATTTGTTATTGAAGACAAAGTGTGCAGTTTGTAGTATTTGGAATAAGACAAAGGTATTACTGAGCATTTACTTTTTACTCAAACATAATACACTTATGGAATATTGCTTGTATGTTTCGACGACACTTGTAATGAATTTGTAATTACATGTAACATATGTGTTCTTTGTGTTATAAGTACCTTACCATAGTAATAACAGTAAATTATGCATAATTACATGCAACTAACCCTGAACCAATCCCTAATCCTCCCCTAACCCTATAGTAAATACATGTAGTTGCTTAATATCGGCAAGTATGAGTATATGAGTGTGCAGTGTGTCTGAGCACAGTGAATGAGCGCACCTGTGCTTGAAGGAGACGTGAGGGAACACGACCCCGAACAGGGCGACGGAGGCGTCGATCACGGACACGCCGAGCGGCAGCGGCCCGGGCACGGCCTCGCCCACGGGCACACGCAGGTATATGGAGGACGGGTCGTGTTCCAGCGCGCCGCTGCCCGACGCACTGTTCGGCTGGAGCTGAGGGACACACACACACACACACACACACAAGGGGAAGCGGTTAGAAATCGTCTAGGACCCGCTAAAAGTGGACTTGCGCCCGAAAGCCAAAAACGGTGTACTGCAAAAAATATTCAGCCTTATCCACCTTATTCCTGCGCCCCATGATGCTCTGCGTGAAATATGGGTGTAACTTGCGTTAAGCTGTAAACAATCAGTGAAAGGCTCGCTCTATGAACGCAATAATACGTTTTTTTCTTTTTAAACTTTTTCCCAATGAGATGACATTATTCTACTCAGCCTTCAACCATTGGACATTAAAAGGACATTTAAAAGTGTAAAAGCATCAACAAGGAACTGTCAACAGACCATGGATAATCCCAAAAGCGCGACTCTTTCCACAGCAATAACGGACGGGTTAAATATCACTGTAGTAATATATATATATATGTATGTATCTGTATTATGTAACATACGTTGCCTTGATCGAAAATGTTAATTAACTTCAGCATTGCGTGACTCTTTTTCAAAGTGATATGCGTCATTTTGACAGATAATAAATTCTATTTACCTGGAAAGAGACGTGAGAATTCGAGGAGAAAAACGAGAGATTCTTAGTGCATTCCAGTGAATTATTAGTGGGATATATCGTAAATTAAACCCTGAGAACAGAACACAGATGTGCAGGCGATGTTGTCCTTTTTCATATTACAGCGGAGTGGCAAAGGGAAAAAACTAAATAATCATGAGGAGAAGAAAGCAGCGACTGCCATAGATATTCTCCTTATAACGTCACGTTAAAATAAAAATGTTACGTTATTTTCATGATGTCTGAAAATAAAGCATGAAGGGAAACTGACGGATCAGCTTCATTTGTAGTGCAACCTTATGATTTGAAATGATTGGTTTCAGTGTTTTTGATTGGAAGTTCCCCAAACCGGCGCATCTCACCTGATCCTCGATGGACTTGTGGTCGGTTTCCTGAAGCCAGGAGCCCATCAGCACACTGTCGTCGTAATGGCACAGCGAGCGCAGCAGAGACGTGGTGGTGTTGGCGGAGTTATCCGTGAGCGTGAACTCGGCCACCAGCTCGCGCAGGAGAGCGTTAAAGCTGCCTTCGTACGTCTTGGGCGGCAGCAGAGCCAGTATATCGTAGAGTCGCAGGCGCACCATGGCAGCGCTGGCCTTCAGGTGAGCTCCGTGAACCTTGATCACTGCAGGGACACTGACACACAAAACTACACTCAAACACAGAACTGTGGAAAATATAGTCAGGTCATTTATCAGTCCTCACTCAAAAATACAGCCTGAAGATACATAAACACAGCCAGTCAGAACAAATTTGATGTTTAAGGTACAGTGGGATCAGTGAGATTTCTTAATGCTTTTAAAGAGTCTCTTCTGCTCACCAAGGCTGCTTTTATTTGATCAAAAAGACAGTAACAACTGTGAAATATGATTACAATTTAAGAGCTGTTTTCTATGTGAATATAATAGTAAAGTGTAATTTATTCCTGAATTTCCAGCATGATTACTCCAGTCTTCAGTGTCACATGATCCTTCAGAAATCACTCTAATATGATGATTTGATGCTCAAGAAACACTTATGATTACATGTGGGCGGAGTCTCTCTGCAAGTGCACTGCACTCACAACCAAATTACTCATAAATCACAGCCAATCAGAAGAGCGTGTGGGCGGAGTCTCTACAATGATCAATGTTGAAAACAGTTGTGCTGCTACAGATTTGTGTGGAAACTGTCATACATTGTTATTTTTCAGGATTCTTTAAAGAATAGAATATTCAAGAGAACAGCATTTATTTGAAATATAATTTGTGACTTTATAAACGGTCACTTTTGATCAATTTAACACACAGCCTTGCTGATTTTCTTTCAAACTAACAGAAATAGTGCTGAGCAAAGGCACCGGCATGTCTTTACTGTAACTCCTGCACTGCGTCACACTCACTGAGACATCATGGTCATGGCACACTCGATGGGCGTCATCAGTCTGCGGATCACGTCCTCCGTCAGCAGCTCTGGACAATGGGCCACAAAGCTGCGCATGGCTGTGGGGAAGCAGAAACATGATGTCTTCATGATGCGTGTGATAAAAACAGAGCAGAGAAAGCCATCAGGAATGATGATGTGAGGTGTTTTACCGCACAGGGCTCCGGCGCGGCCCTCCAGCATCACCTGCCAGCTGAAGGAGTCTCCTCTGGCCTTCTCCGCCTCCAGCTCCTTCTGGGAGCGAGGGAACACGTTACGCCACAGCAGCAGCATCTTGGGCAGGTGGTAACGCACTAAAGACGGTCCTGGTGAGATGAAACAACACGATTACTGCCATCGTGAAAATGCTTTTAGGCCAGAAACACAATGTGCTTCTGAGCCTCTTCTTTTATCAGGAGAGTTGCTTCACACCTGATTCTAATCAGACTCCAGTGACATCCGTTTGTCCACACCAGATACAACACGACTTCAAGATGGGACAAAATAAATAATAAATCAAAGCCCATCAGAAGAGCGTGTGGGCGGAGTCTCTCTGCAGGCGCACTGCAGTCACAATCAAATCAATCAAAAATATCAGCCAATCACAAGAGCATGTGGGCGGAGTCTCTCTGCAAGCACACTGCACTCGCAACAAAATGGATAAGATTAAAATGATTAAAATATATACTGTTTGTCTTGTTACTAGAATGATTGTTATGTACACTATAATGGATTATAAGATAATTAACGGGTACGATTTGAAAAGTTTCTTCTCAAATCAATGTCCGCATCATTATTTGTGTGGTGTGTAATAAGCGCCAAGATCGTAAATTATCCTTTAAATGTCCGTCTTGTTTGAAGTTGTTCGTTCTCTAGGCTCAAAGCTCAAAACTTTTTCTTCACAGAAGCTTTGCATCTAGTAAGCTAATAAAATAGCTTTAATGTATAATTATTCTCATACAGTAGTGGGGAAAAGTGATGTCCGGCCTAGGAAAACTTGACATCTTCACCCTTTTTCAGATACTATTAAAAATGTGTACAAGATTTTGCAAGCATATTGCGTAGTTGTGCTTTGAGTCGACTGTTTTATTTGTCATAACACAATGAAACATGACAAATTGTCAACAAAAGCACAAACAAGAGAGAACCAACCCAATATTAATAATGGATTATGTTATAGTCAATGTTTGCTTTTTCCTGTCAGCTTTTCGTTCTTCTATGCAGTTTTTTTGCACAGTAAAATAAAAACTGTAGCTGTAGTTTGCCCTTTTTGCCAAATAATTTAGCTCAACTATTTAAAAATATATAAACTAACATTCAAAAGTTTGGGATCGGTAAGATTTAGAAGTCTCTTCTGCTCACCAAGGCTGTATTTATTTGATCAAAATACACCACACAGTGAATATATAGTATATGTGAATATATAGTAAAGTGTAATTTATTATTATAATTAACAATATTATTGATCTGCCTGGATTGACACCATAATATGAGAACTGAACTGAGCTGCACGATGACATCACGGTTTTCTCCAGAGCTATACAGCATATACTATATTTATAAATGAACTAAATGAATAACTTTTTTACAACAAAAATGAAACATCACTGAGCTTACTTAAGCTGGACTGTGACACTAGTTTCTACTGGAAACAAACTTTGTTGTACTCATGAGGATGGACTCACCTAAGGTCATGAGCGCTCCTAACAACAGCCAGCCGGCTTGAGTCCGCTGGAGAGACATACGGCTGTTCTGCGCTGCCGAACGCAGCAGATCCTCAGCTATACTCACCACCATCTGAAACACACCACTCCCAGTCAGGCTCTGTGACAGCAGTCAGATACAGGTGCTTCTCTACAGGAGTCTCGTATTTCTGCACGAATACACATTCTTCTAATGCTGTACATTTAAAGGAATGTTAAACTACTGGCTCTGTGTGGTGTATTATTGTCATTGTACAGTCAAAACTAAATTTATTCAGACACCTTCAAAATATCTCACATTATCAGTTTATTCGCTATAGTTTAGAAAATGGTAATAAAAAATTACAAGAACTCAGAGTTATTAAATGTGGGATGGGGAGGGGAGGCAGTGGAGACTCAGACTGGGATCGGGAAAGGAGGCAGTGTAGACTCAGACTGGGATCGGTAGGGAGACAGTGGAGACTCAGACTGGGATCAGGAGGGGAGGCAGTGGAGACCAGAGATGGGGACTCGAGTTTGAGAAGTCGCACACACAGTGACTTCAGACTCGACTTGAGACTCGTCCTCGAAAGACTTCAGACTCGACTCGGACTCGAGCTGCGGGACTCGTGAACAATGTTTATTTTTAGGAAACGTCTGATGAGCTCTCTGTTATTCCCCTCCCTCCGACTCGTTACCTAAAACCTGCCTACATAACACGTACTACGTGCGCGTGGCCACACATGAGAGGACAGCAAAAAAACATGTCGACTGCACCGGCCGCTGCTGTGCCATTCATCGTAAGCTTTGGGTTTAAAAACTTCAAACAAGACGGGCCAAATAAAAGAAGCGCTCAATGCAAAATATGCGGTATCTGCGCGCGTGCACCTCATGGTATTCCATGAGGGAGAGAGAGCGCGAGAGGTATGGGTGAACGAGAGAGAGAGAGAGAGAGAGAGAGAGAGAGAGAGAGAGAGAGAGAGAGAGAGAGAGAGAGAGGGACGAGCGAGAGGTAGTGCGGCGCGAATGCGTTACGGCGCTCTGCAATCAAATACGATTTTAAATAGGCTTAGTAAAAATAAAATAAAAAATCGAAAATCAATGTGTGGCGGTCAGCCAGTGTTGATATTGTGGCGGGCCGCCACAAATATATGAACGTATGAGGAACCATGTATTTCACATCATTTGGTTCCAATAGTGTTTTGCATTTAGCTACACTGTGATGTTTTGCACTGTGTCAATTTTAGTGCTTTGAGGTAGGCTATAACATTTTCTATATTTGGTCTTATAGCTTCAGCTCCAGAGCCAGCACAATAGGACCCAAGGCCTTTTATTGTAATTCAGCAACAGACATGAGAGTCCTTTTTCTTCAGAACCTCAATTTTTACAGATGCAGATATTAACTTAAAAGTAAAGCATTCTTGGTGTTTTTGTCATGTTGAAATAGCCTGTTTACACTATCTATTAGCATACAGTATCAGCTTTGATTTAGGTATATAATCAAAGGAGTCATAATAACATTACATGCTTTGAATTCCTATATAGCTATGAAGTGTTCTAAGCAGCCTGGATGGGTCGCTGTACGTGATGCAACACTTATTATAACCACAAGAGACTTGAGACTTGACTTGGACTCTAGTTCAGAGACTTGAGACTTGACTTGGACTCTAGTTCAGAGACTTGAGACTTGACTTGGACTCTAGCTCAAAGACTTGAGACTTGACTTGGACTCTAGTTCAGAGACTCGTGAGCATCTCTGGCTCAGACTGGGATCGGGAGGGGAGGCAGTGGAGACTCAGACTGGTATCGGGAGGGGAGGCAGTGGAGACTCGGACAGGGATTGGGAAGGGAGGCAGTGGAGACTCGGACTGGGATCGGGAGGGGAGGCAGTGGAGACTCGGACTGGGATCGGGAGGGGAGGTAGTGGAGACTCGGACTGGGATCGGGAGGGGAGGTAGTGGAGACTCGGACTGGGATCGGGAGGGGAGGTAGTGGAGACTCGGACTGGGATCGGGAGGGGAGGTAGTGGAGACTCGGACTGGGATCGGGAGGGGAGGTAGTGGAGACTCGGACTGGGATCGGGAGGGAGGCAGTGGAGACTCGGACTGGGATCGGGAGGGGAGGCAGTGGAGACTCGGACAGGGATCGGGAAGGGAGGCAGTGTAGACTCAGACTGGGATCGGGAGGGGAGGTAGTGGAGACTAAGACTGGGATCGGGAGGGAGGCAGTGGAGACTCAGACTGGGATCGGGAGGGAGGCAGTGGAGACTCAGACTGGGATCGGGAGGAGACTCAGACTGGGATCGGGAGGGAGGCAGTGGAGACTCAGACTGGGATCGGGAGGGAGGCAGTGGAGACTCAGACTGGGATCGGGAGGGAGGCAGTGGAGACTCAGACTGGGATCGGGAGGGGAGGCAGTGGAGACTCAGACTGGGATCGGGAGGGAGGCAGTGGAGACTCAGACTGGGATCGGGAGGGGAGGCAGTGGAGACTCAGACTGGGATCGGGAGGGGAGGCAGTGGAGACTCAGACTGGGATCGGGAGGGAGGCAGTGGAGACTCAGACTGGGATCGGGAGGGAGGCAGTGGAGACTCAGACTGGGATCGGGAGGGAGGCAGTGGAGACTCAGACTGGGATCGGGAGGGAGGCAGTGGAGACTCAGACTGGGATCGGGAGGAGACTCAGACTGGGATCGGGAGGGAGGCAGTGGAGACTCAGACTGGGATCGGGAGGGAGGCAGTGGAGACTCAGACTGGGATCGGGAGGGAGGCAGTGGAGACTCAGACTGGGATCGGGAGGGAGGCAGTGGAGACTCAGACTGGGATCGGGAGGGAGGCAGTGGAGACTCAGACTGGGATCGGGAGGGGAGGCAGTGGAGACTCAGACTGGGATCGGGAGGGGAGGCAGTGGAGACTCAGACTGGGATCGGGAGGGGAGGCAGTGGAGACTCAGACTGGGATCGGGAGGGGAGGCAGTGGAGACTCAGACTGGGATCGGTAGGGAGGCAGTGGAGACTCAGACTGGGATCGGGAGGGGAGGCAGTGGAGACTCAGACTGGGATCGGGAAGGGAGGCAGTGGAGACAGACTGGGATCGGGAGGGGAGGCAGTGGAGACTCAGACTGGGATCGGGAGGAGACTCAGACTGGGATCGGTAGGGAGGCAGTGGAGACTCAGACTGGGATCGGGAAGGGAGGCAGTGGAGACAGACTGGGATCGGGAGGGGAGGCAGTGGAGACTCAGACTGGGATCGGGAGGAGACTCAGACTGGGATCGGTAGGGAGGCAGTGGAGACTCAGACCTTGCCCTTGGAGTGTGGGATGCCCAGAGGACACTGATGGACTCCTCCCAGCAGAGCCGCCATGGCGAAGCTGTACCCGCTCACGGCCTCGGGCGAGTTCTTCAGGTTGTTGATGCACTCAGCGCAGCGGTCCAGCAGAGGCGTGAGCTGGTGTGGAAGAGCGACAGAAACGCAGCGCAGACACCAGGCAGCCGACAGACGAGCCGCCATACTCGGGTGCAGCAGCACAGACGTCACCGTCTCCAGAAAACCTGCACACATCATCACAGGCGTCCAGATAGTGAGCGGATTAAGCTGCTAACGGTGTCGGCATAAATGAATTAAAGGGATAGAGTCTTCACAAGAGTCTTCATTTACTCTACCGCATATCGTTATAAACCTAGAAGACTTTCGTTCATCTTTTTAGCCACCTCCTGTGGTGAAAATCCAGCTTTTAAATGTTGTTTATGTGTCAATGAGGTGATTTTAATCTGCTTTAACACAAACCATGTGTAAATTCATAAGTCGACAGCATTGCTGAGTATTTCCTCCTTAAAACTGCAGTGAACCAAAGACAGTCTCAAAAACACGGTTTGAAATCGCTGGTGTTTCTGACGTCACAAACTACCCTGTAGCCAATCACGTTACAAGGGGGCAGGCTTTCACATATCATTAACAGCGAACTAGCAGGGGAGTCTCGAGAAATGCCAGGTTATCCCAGTATATATGTCTGTTAATATAAAAAAAAAAAATCGGGTAGATTTAGCCATATAGCAGGTGTATGATGTGGACTGAGATGGCGAACGGGAACATAGTTTGTGTAACACTAACAACACATTATTATTAGCTGTTTGATAACATAGTCAAGGAAAAGGATAATCATTTGAATTACCATTATGTGTCTGACGTTGTAAAGAGCAAACTTTTTCTGCAGCGTTTAGCTCAGTAAGTTGGCCAAGTGGATCTCTGAGCTGCTGTGAGTGAGTGGAGGCGGGACTTATTTGCATTTTCATAGAACCACGTGTACTAAATGAGACAAGGGTGTCGAGTTACGTTCAAGCTATTTTAAGGCATGAAAAAAGAATTAACAGGAAAAAAAAAACATTTAAAAACATTTAAATATGTAATTTTGGTGATCAAAGATGAGTTTTAAAGAATACAATTATTGACTACAGGGGGACTTTGATGAAATCCAAAACACTTCTGTCCCTCCATTGAAAGTCCATGTAATCAAAACCTTCAAGCTGCAAAAGTTCATAAAGACATTTACATTTAGTCATTTAGCAGACGCCTTTGTCCAAAGAGATTGTAAAAGAACTAATATGGACAAAGGAAGCTCAACCGTTTTTGGCTTCAACAATCCTCATTAGTTCTCAAGCTTTTGTTTACCATATTTCATGAGCTCTATGCACATTATGTTTATATAAGCCTTAATTCCATCGGTTAATCATATAAAGTGATCGTGTCTCTTCAGAAGACTTGGATTAAAAGGTTTCATTCATATGGATGTATTTTACCATCTCGTTTTGAAGCATCAGTGTTTTGGGTGAACAGACTGTCAGTGGAGGGACAGAAATATCGAAGATGAGTTTCATAAGTTTAGAAGATGAACAAAACTATTAAGGGTTTGGAACATCATTTTACATTTTAAATATATGTAATGTATAAATATATGAGAAAAGACTGAGGGTTGAATGAGACATGGACATTTGCCAAAACAAACAGTGACAAACTTGTCATCATAACATCGAATACAAATTCCATATTTATACCAAATAGTGTAACCATCTCTATTTATATATTTTTTTTTTTAAAGCTGGATCATAAGTGGACCTTTCAAAATGATAATGACCCAAAGTATGCAAGCAACAAGGAAACCGGGAAAGGGAACGGCTCAGAAGAAAGAAATGGAGCATGTTGGGACGCATGGATTCTCAGACAATGGTAATTACACATGCCTAAAATACAGTATTTCTGCCAAAAATGGCACTAGAAAAGTGCTATTAAAATTAAGTGTCAGGGTGTAATTTAGCTTGAGCATCCATAGTAATGAAATATAAATATACAAAGACTTTTGATAAGCGTGCCACCCTGGGATGTTTGTCTGGTTTTGTACCCGACTGCTGCATGTTGTGGTTGTGTGCATTTCTCCTACCGACGGACGGCTCCAGGATCAGCGGGGAGGCCGTGGCGCTCAGACTCTGGACCAAACTGCCCAGCTCCTTCAGCGCGCACACCATCACATGCTGACTAGCCGACACGTCCGCGGCTCCGGCGCGGCTCTCGCTGCTCGGGTCGTTCACCACCGCCTCTGTGTGGGAGAGAGAGCAGTCATGAGCGTCTGCATGCACACGGAGCGATCCAACACTCCTCGTGTCAGGACCAGTGTTGGGGACGGTTACTTTTAAAAGTTATGCGTTACAAGATTGTGTTACTCCCATAAACTGTAAAAAATATGGACAAAGCGTCTGTGACGTCACCCATAGACTTTCTGAAGAACGGTTTTGAGGCTGTTTATGGGGGGTATGGGCGGTGCCATCTTGGAAAATCTTACGATATTTCAAATACAAATGTTCAGAAAGGATACAGAGGTGGTATGATGTGTTGTGTCAGATCATGGCCGAGACGTCAAATTTCAGGAATTCCACTCGGCGCAGCCCGTTATCAGCTGTCAATCACGCGCTTATTTGTCATACATTTTATATCTAAATACGATCTAAACTAACGAGTTAGAAAAAAATTCACCCCCCTCACAGTTGTCAGGCACTCGGAACCTATAGAAAAATACAATAAAAGTCCATGGGACCAACCTGTAAAAACATGAATTTATGCTGTGAAAACTGACATTTTAACATGCGGGTCTATGGAGATTTGCTCCCTTTTGGGACCTCCCTCTAGCGGATTTTCAATGTATTGCAGTTTTTCGCACTTCCGGGTGGGCTTCATTTTTCAGATTAGAATGTTGCCGCTTGGTTACTCCCTAAAAAAGTAACTAATTGTATTAATTCCAGTCGCTCACTTGCTTTGTTCTTGAACGAATCAGGCTTTTGAATAAAACGGTTGTATGAACGATTCAATGACTCACTTATTAAGACAATGAATTGTAGATTAATATGGTTTATTCTATTTTTTAAATAAAAATCACTTTAAAAAATAAAAGTTATTTATTAGCATCGATAGTTCCAAGGACAACCTTTAACATCCATTGCATAAAATGTTTTTTTTTTAAAGTGGAAAAAGGTTATTTACAAATCAGGCTTTTGAACAAATCGGTTGTATAAATGATTCAATGACTCACATATTAAGACAGTGACTCGCTGCCATCTACTAAAAGGTAAATAGAAGGTTCTTTAAAATATTAAAATGTTTTTCACACAAAAGGATCAATGAAAGGTTCTTTGAGGAACCAAAAATGGCGAACACCCCCATTTGGATCCATTATTTTTAAGAGTGTGACATCCTATTATTTTTATTAATTCATATATATAGATTCATATATAATAAGGCTGTGCAGCGATTAATCGCGATCCAAAATAAAAGTTTGTGTTTCCATAATATATGTGTGTGTACTGTGTATAATTATTTTGTACACACACATGCATGTATATATTTGAGAAATATTTGCATGTATATATACCATAATCTAATTTATATTATATATAAATATAAATATTTTATATATATAAATAACATTTTTCTCAAATATATACATGCATGTGTGTGTATTTATATATACAAAATAATTATACACAGTACACACACATATATTATGGAAACACAAACTTTTATTTTGGATCGCAATTAATCGCTGCACAGCCCTAGAAAAAAAAGCCCGATGACCGAGGACACAAGTGATTTCAGACACGAGTCTCACGGATTGTGCATTACTCCTCTAATCTCCATCTTACCCACGGCTCTCATCTGTTTGCTGATGGCCAGGCAGATCTCCTTGGCAGCCGCGATCTGAGCCTTCTCCCCCAGCAGCCCTCCCAGCGTCGCCCGCAAGGCGAAGGACACGCAGCGGCGGGAGTACACGGCCTCCACGTGGGTCTGTGTGGCGCGCGGGTGAGCCACCAGCTCCAGCAGATGAGACAGGAACACTGCGAAGTTACGCTCCAACCACTGGCCGCCCAGAGTCGTGACGAACACTACATACGCCTGCATGGAGACACACACCCATGAGCAGATGATGACACGTCTAATGCAGTCAACAAAACCTCCTGTTGCTTTAGAGTTTAAAATCTGTCATGGCTGAGATAAACCCACAGCATTGTATGAGTTATGATGCCAAACACCAGCTCAACAAATCATCATGCAGAGATCAACATTTTTGTCCAAAGTCCCCTGTAGTCGAACACTTTATCCCTTAAAACTCACCTTTGATCATCAAAATGACACATTTAAATGTTTTTTTCCCCTGAAAATAATGTCTTCATGGCTTAAAATATCTTGAATGTAACTCGACACCCTTGCCTCATTTAGTATTCGCGGTTCTATGAATATGCTAATGAGCCCCGCCTCCACTCACTCACTCAGCTAAGAGATCCACTGGTTGACGATCACACGTTGATCTGATTGGTTACAAGTCTAAATAGGAATTTGTGTTTAACTGTTTTACTAAGAAACAAAATGATAGGGACAGATCAAACGAATTGCCACTGTGAGTGAGTGTGTGCATGTGTGGTGTCTTCAGTCTCACCTGAGTGACCCCGACGCGCACCTCTCGACTGACCGAGGCTCCTTTCAGCATCTCTCCTCCACTCTTCAGGAACCCTGATCCTCCACGCAGGAACCCTGTGGACATCAGCTCCAGAACCTCCTCCAGAGTCGCTCGCTTCACGTTCTGCCGCATCACTGACACACACACACACACACACACGCGTGGCATTCAGTCAAAACCAAAAGTTATTCAGACACCATTTTAATTGATATTTTTTTCTAGTGTGTGCAGGACACTATAGTTCATTTCTGTAAGTGAGGAGAGCAGAATAAAGTAAACTGTGACATATTATACACAAATATTCTTCAGACAGCGACTACCAGTGACATTTATACACATTACAGACACTTTGAGCTGATCATGTTTTGCTGAAGTGTGTTTTCTGTAACTGCTAATGCTCTTTTTACACACACACTGAACAACATGAAGCATTGCTTGGTCACTGGTTGAGCTAAACTGGTATTATCTAATTGTGTAGTTAAATTTAACAGCTGACAGATATTCAACATAATTCATGTGTGAGACAGAAGGATGGTGTGTCCGGGCAGGTGTGTCTGTGTGTGTGTGTCCGGGCAGGTGTGTGTGTGTGTGTGTGTGTGTGTGTGTGTGTGTGTGTGTGTGTCTCACCGGTGGCCTGTTTGGGCATGAGCGCGGTGGCCATGGCGGTTCCCAGCAGTGAGGACACAGCGACACGCACACCGTACGTCGAGCCCTCCAGAGCCTTGAAACACAGAGTGGCCACGTTCTCCAGCTCAGTGGTCCAGATGAACACGGCCTCGTTCTGCAGCTCTAGCAGACACTGCCCAATCACATCATCATCATCATCATCATCATCATCATCATCATCTGGCCCAATCACATCATCATCATCATCATCATCTGGCCCAATCACAGTCAGCTCTAACAAACATCAGGGCTGCGTTCACCCCCGACAAACCGTCGCACAGCGTGTTTTAAACAGAAACGGTGATGCGTTGAACACACTGTTCTGATGACGCTAGAGTTGCAACTATGGCAGCTGAGAAGGCCATTCTTTGTGAAGAATTTTCCGAGTCTGATGAAGTCGGTATAAATATGTGTTTAATACTACAAAATATGTGTGTGTGTGTGAACCTCCTGCTCACCTTGGCGACGGCGCAGCGGACGGCCATGGATCTGTCGGTGAGCATTGAGCGCGTGTTCTTATAGATGTCTCTGTGACACGAGGCCGCCGCTCCACCGAGACCACTGAGCACTTTCTGCAGACTCAGCAGGATCTCGCCTCGACCCTGAGCCTGAAA